GCACAGGGGCCAGCCTGGACGCTCCTTATGCTATTTCTGCCTCTTGCAGGACCGAGTGGGACCTCACAGCCCAGCTCTCGGCAGACACCTCCTGGACCCTCCCGACGCCCTGGGACCTGCTCCGTATGACCCAGCGTAGGTGCCCTGTCATCGTCACGCCTGCTGTCTGCCTGCTCCTGGCCTGAAGGCCCCCGCAGCCCCGCTTCCCCGGGTTGGTGCTGCCGGGCGGCTGGTGGGGCTTGCGGTTGTGAAGCCTTTTTCTTCCCGGGACCCGACTGTCAGCTGTTTGCATCTGGCCAGCCACCCCGATGTCCCATAATCCTTTGCAACCCCCGCTCTGCTTTGTACCCGGCGCCGTGGGAGCTGGCACTCGCGAGTTGCACCGGGGGGGGGGAGAAGGGGTTAAAACCACGCTGACCAGCCTGCTCCAGCAGGAGAAAGGCAGCAGGGCACAAGAGAGCTGGTCCCCGTCTCCCCACCCATGGCGCTTCGCAATCCGCGCTGGAAGACTGCAGCTGCTGCTGTCCCCCTCTGGCCTCGGCCCAGCTGTGGGGAGCCGGGCATCAGAAAGCTTCCTCTGTGCAGCAGGGTCGTTGGAAAGGCTGCTGCTGGCAACTGGGAGCTTCCATCACGTACCCAGGAATGTTCCACTGCAGTTAACAGCTGCCTTCAGCAGTGTGACCTAGTGGTTAGAGCAGAACGCTGGGTACCGGACTATGTGGCTTTATTCCCCGGCTCTGCAAGAGGCACCTCCCCCACGCCACTGCCCTGCTCCGTGCCTCAGTTTCCCCATCCAAAATACTTGCTTCTCCTCGCCCATCTCTCTGCCTCCTCTCCCTCCCTCGCAGGGCCGGCTTTGTGATATTCTACGACTTCCTGCTGGGCTTGGACCCTGCCTTCTTCCAGGTTTGCCTGGTGGCTGGACTGTACCGAAACGGGCAAGAGATGGGCAAGCCAACCCCTCTTCCCATTGCTTATTGCCAGATGGGCCGCTCCCCACCGCATGTAATAGACGGGCAGGGGGGGAACAGCGCGATCCTATCGGCCAAACAGCCCGTCCCAAGGTGAGCCGTGTTAAACTCCTGCCACCTGCTTCCTCCGTGTGTGCAATGAACTAGCCCTGTTCCTCCTGCACCGTCTCTTTAACTGCCCAAAGAACGTTCCCCTTCATGGGCAGCATTGCAAAATCAGCTGGGGGGTCGACTGTGTTCCCTTCCCTTGAGGCATCCGGTGCTGGTCACCGTCAGGGCGATGGCCCGGTGCTTTCATCTGCTGCAAGGAAGCCCGTGTGCCTTTGTATGGCACGGCAGGGTGGGCCACGGCAGGGGTGCCCACCTGTCATTTCCCCGGACGCTGATGGGCGAGGTTAGCGATCCTGGGCACAGCTGCTGGCCCGGGGCAGGGGCTACTTTTAGTCCCTGTTCAAGAGACACGTGTGAAGCCAGCTGAGATGTTGCGGACGTGCAAGGTTCAGAAAAGGGCAACAAAAATGATGAGGGGTTTGAAACGGGCCCCATATGAAGAGAGATTAATAAGACTGGGACTTTTCATCTTGAGGGAGCGGGGGAAAAGGAGCCTAAGTGGGAATATGATAGAGGTCTATAAAATCATGACTGGTGTGGAGAAAGAGAATAAGGAAAAGTTATTTACTTGTTCCCATAAGAACTGGGGGGTCACCAAATTAAATGAATAGGCAGCAGGTATAAAACAAACAAAAGGACGTTTTTCTTCACTCAGCGCACAGTCAACCTGTGGAACTCCTTGCCAGAGGATGTGGTGAAAGCCAGGGCTTTAACAAGGTTCAAAAAAGAGCTAGATAGATTCATGGAGGTTAGGTCCATCAATAGCTACTAGCCAGGATGGGTAGGAATGGTGTCCCCAGCCTCTGTTTGTCAGCGGCTAGAAATGGACGAGAGGAGCGGGATCACTTGATGATTTCCTGTTCTGTTCGCTCCCTCTGGGGCACCTGGCATTGGCCACGGTCGGCAGACAGGATCCTGGGCTAGATGGACCTTTGGTCTGACCCCGTCTGGCTGTGCTCATGTTCTTATGAGAGGCTGTCGATTTCTGTTACCCAGAAGCCCTTCCACCCGGTTGGTAACTGTGTGTAGCACTCTAAGAAAAAGCCCCATCCGCATCCCTGCTTACACACTCACCCGGCCACGCACAGACTGCGGCTCTGCCGAGGGAGGCTGCGGGGGGGCTTCAGGCCACCTCTGTCCGTAACTCAGCTTCCCTCCTCCCTGCCTTCCAGAGTCCGGCCCTCAGCCTCCATGGCCCTGGTGATGGAGCTGCAGGCTGCCGGGGGCTTCGACACCTACGGGCTGGAGATCCAGCGCCTGGCCCCCTGGGGATGGGCCACCATCCACCTTTTCGACCAGCACCACCAGCTGATCAGCGGGCGGTGGAAGGTTCCGGTGCGGATGCTGCCAGTGCAGCCTGGCCTCACGCCGGAGCAGCTGAACGGGATCCCTCAGGTGAGCAGGGCCGAGGCCGCGTTTCCCCGTCGCTGGGCCGTTCCCGCCTCGTCCTTCCAGGCTGCTTAGTTATTTGCTTAAAACTTCCTCAAAATCCCTCCAGTACCTGGGCTCAGCAGGTGTGGAAAAGCCAAGCGCTGGTGTTAGGATAAGTCCCCGAAGTGGGGCCTGACCCCATTGTAATGTGGTTGCCTGGGACGGCTTAGACTTGCTGTGGCCCGGGGCCAAAGCCCAAATGCTACCGAGGGGGCAGCCCTTGGACTTTGGGTCCTGGAATGGCGGGGTTCAGACGGGCTCGGGGTTCAGCCCCCCTCTGGGGGCCGGGCCATAACTTCTGTTCTCAGACGGGGGTCGCAGGGCAATGAACGGGAAGGCCCTGGGCGAGCGCGAAGATGG